ATGTTTTTAGGGGTCAATAAAAGATGAATTATTTATTCATATTTGTAAAAATGAATCAACAAAATGTAATCATGAAACATTCAGCTTCTGTGACGAGAGAAGAAAGGTTGTGTATCGTGTTATTAGTATTTCATAAAGTCCTCCTCTCTGCTGATCCTCAACACAATAAAAACTGATGAAGTTTGAACTGGATTTGTCTTTTTATTTCACATTTAATCAAGTACTGTATTTAAGTAACATGAGGTAATTTACTTGTTTATTTCCACTTTATGCCACTTTTTACTGTACTACACCTCAGAGGTACATATTGTACTTTTTACTGTACTACATCTCAGAGGTACATATTGTACTTTTTACTACCTTTATTACCACATGTACTGTTTGAAAAGGTCTTCTACTTGAACACATACAGCCGTAGCTTGTTTTTTTTCTCAGTTAGTTCTGTGTCCTTTTATCCTTTCTTTCTTTGTTCATTTCTTTTTTTCTTCATGTTAATCCACAGACATCATGAAGAATAATAGTAAAAACGCTGTCCGGAAACATTTTACTGCACAATGACTCTACATTTAACAGGCTACTTTACATACAGTTTACTGATAATACTTGCATACTTTTACTTGTAGTGGAGTATTTTCAAAAGGTGAAATCACAAATGTTAGTACATTAAATCATAATTTACACCTTGTTAAATCAACCTGCACAATATTTTGTTCTTGACATGAATAGAGTAAACTATATTTAATAAATGAAGGTAAAACACAACAACAGAACCACCCTCTCACCTCGTGGTTACCTGCCGTCTCCACAGCGCCATCTAGCGGTCGCAGCCGGAATGAAGAGCCCCTCCCTCTTTTTGGCTTTGAGGCCGGTCCACCTGCTGCCCCCGTCCAGAAGCTCACCAACAGGTACAATTTACGACTTAAATTAGACGGAAATCAAACAGGAAAACATACTAAACGTCGCTAAAATGAACACCTGACAAATTCGGCTTCACCCAGGTGCATTTTAAGTGCTAGTTTTGTCGTGAAACAAGACGCCGGTAAGCTAATGTTAGCTAACATTACCTAGCATACAGGCTTGAGGGGATGTAGTCTCGTGAGCAAAAAACGCTAACTAATCTCTGAGGTAGTTAACTAACTAGTTGTGTTTTCTTTCAGAGTCGACTGAGGAAAGACACACAAACACCATGCTGAACATCTCCATTATGACGGTAAGTGGTGAAGTGTATATATATTTGTATATATCTAATAGTTTAAAGTTAACGGTTGACACCTTAATTAGTGCGCGTGCTGCCAGTCGAAGCCATGACGCAGTTCAGACAGACGTTAGAAGGACTTTGGGGGGTTTCGTCATGTTATTTATATATTTTTAAATGTATATTAATTTATTAACTCTTGACGTTGAACGTTGCACCACGAGGTCACAGTTTAGCTCGTGCGTTGCCTCTTATAGACACGTTTCTACTGAGGTTATAAAATAACTAAAGCTTCCTCTGTGATGACAACCAAACATTTATAATATGTTTTATTTATACAAACAACAAAACATAAGGAGCAAGAGGATCATTAAAGTCCTGAAGTCACCAGGACAATCCTCAGTGAATGAATCTAGAGAGAGTTTATCTGTACAAGTGGACCCAGTTCTGGTGTCTCCGGTGTAACTGTCCTCTCTGGCCTCTGTAGGTGGAGAGCCCATCCTGCCTCTGGGGTCGGGTTGTCCAGGGTCCCGGCGGTGACGTGGAGACCACAGACCAGTACGACAGACTGCTGGCTCAGATGAACCTCTTCTACCACGATGTGACTCAGGACCTGCTCAAGCTGAAGCCCACGTCGCTAGAGGAGGGACAGGTAAAGCAGCACCTGCCTTAGTTCTTACATGCCTGACTCAGGTGTGGTTCTGGTCTTGAATGTGGACTGGAATGCGTGTGTTGCTTTGCTTCCTCTCAGGTGTGTGTGGTGTACTGGTCGGTGATGAAGTCGTGGTGTCGGGCCGTAGTGGAGTCGATCATCATGGACTCGGTGTCCTGTCAGGTTCGCTGCCTCCTGGTGGACCACGGAGGGCGACTCGTCGTCCCCTCAGACCAGTAAGACCAGAACTGTACCAGTAGTCCACACAGCACCACCGCTGCCATTTTAACACATTAGCCCAAATACAGGACTGTTTTGTAGGGCTGTGATGGAGCGCTACCCACCGCACACGCAAACGATGATGTGAAAGAGTCTGTAGACCTGAGCGACGTTTGTGTGGCTGTGCTGTTTGAGTCTTAACTTTGGTGTTTGTCGTCTCGGTCCCACAAGGATCCGAATCGCGATGCAGACCTTCCTCCAGGTGCCCTTCTGGGTGAGGAGGTTCCACCTGACGGGAATCAAACCAACAACCCTGCGGGTGTCCGTCCATGAGGAGAAGGCGAAGCTCATGTAAGACGAGCTCACTGCTCACGACTGAACTAGCGATGGGTTTTTGAATCACAATAGAATCGTAATAGTGTCTCCTTAACCCACTTTATGTCATTGTGATGCGTTTGATCTTGTCCTCTGCAGCGCGTCCTCTCAGTGGGACAGCTCTGCTACACACTACCTGCACAACCTGCTGCAAGGTGAGCAACATGCTCCTTATGTCTCTACATGTGACCTCTTAGAAGACAGCGTGCGACGTGTCCTGAGCTGCTGCTGCGCTCACACCGATGTTAAAAAAAAGGAGTCACTTTGAAAGTTTGCTTCCTTCCATCAGCGTCGACACGGACGGAGGCCGTGTTGCTCGAATCTGAGTCAGACTGCACCGCCGTTGAGCTCTACCTAACCGTCGGGAACGTCAAGGTGAACTTTGACCCCACAGTTTAGGATTCAACAAGTCACACTAGCTCAAACATTTAGTCTGACACAGAGCTTTAGATACGCATGAATATGACATAAGATCACACATGAGATGATAATTTAACAGTTATTGTATTTTTTTATTTTCTCAGATCTGTGTGAATGACGATCTGGTGGCCAAGAAGTTTGCGTATTACATCGGCGGTCTGGACGAGGTGGACCAACTTCCCATCATGTTGTCCTCCAGTATCTTAACCCAAAGCGTCTGCTCGACCTCAAACAAGCCGACGGCACAAACATCCCAACCAGCTCCCGGTAAGAGACGCACAGATGTGACTTCCTGTTCAGGGCGGTCCTGTAGCTCAAGACTAACGTGGACATCTGTAGTTAACACATCCACAGTCGGGTGAAACATTTTGAGCTCCACACAGACCCGTTACAGACATGAAAAGTGAAGCTAAAGCTTCATGTGTTAAAGCTGCATTCTCTCTAGTGACCACCAGAGGGCGACTCCTCTGGTTGTATAGAAGTCTATGAGAAAATGACTCTACTTCTCTCTTGATTTATTACCTCAGTAAACATTGTAAACATGAGTTTATGGTCTCAATCTCTAGTTTCAAGTCTTCTTCAATACAGCATGATGTTCATTTAGTACATTATGGTCCATTTAGAGTCACACAGACCATAAAGCAGGGCATGCTTTAGGGCGGGGCTACACAGTGATTGACAGGTCTCTACCAGACACGTATACGGCGTCTCTACGTCACTCCTCCTCAGTCCAGATATGGTCACTTTCGCTCACTTGTGGCAAAAAAACAAGATGGCGACGGCCAAAACGCCAACCTCGAGGCTCCAAAACATACTTACAGGTTCAGACTTTGGTTCCTCCTCGACGCAGCAGCTCTGGTCCGTTATATCTGTCGGTTTCCTGCACTGACGTCTGGACTGATGCTTGTTTTCAGCTCTTTCTTCCAGCTTGGATTCTGCGGTCAGAGCCTCTCTGCTGCTCCAGAGACCACAACACGAGCCAAAGACCTCTGAGCCAGACGCTGGTGCTGCTGCTGCAGAGAGGTGAGCGCACATCTGGTTCAGTCCAGATGTTCACTGTTGAGCAGAGACAATAGTTCAGATGAGATATGTCATCATTCACTGAAAACATTTATTTTACTACTTTGTCTACGTCTGTAGATTTCTCCTAAATTCACCAAAAGTTACCATTACATAATGCCTCATTTGCATATTTAAACATAACATGTCAGTAAACTTGTAATACTAAAGATACTCCTCTTAATGTGAGTGATGAAGTGGTGAAGTTTCATGGTGATATCTATG